TCTGGGACTGCAGAGAGACACACCCAGTATTTGCAAGCAACTTTGGGGCCTGGCCCTTTCCTGAAGCCCGAGAGGTTTACTGTGCAATGATGTGCTTCAGAATCTGGAATAGTGACCAGCAAGTGAATGCCACCTTCCCTTCCAGGCCCCCCTCTCCTCACCCTACCCTTCTACCACTTCCTTTACATCCTACGTGCAAAATCCTAAAATGATGTCTATAGTCTCCACTTTTGAAATCATCTTTCAGATCTCCAAGTTTTGGCTCCCTGGGTCTAATCATGCATGTCCCCTCTTCCTTTAAAACCCCTCTTTAAATCCTGCCGGAGGACACTCTCGAGTCATTTGGTTACTGTGGTCCTTTGGCCAGTGTTTCTGTGCACTTGCTCTCTTCAGATGTGTGCGTGTGTGTGTTCACCGCCACAGGCATGGGTGCACACTCACGTGCGTGTTTGGGTGCATTGTAGCACAGACTCCTTTTCTCTCTGTCGGTGCTCTTCTCTCTCTCTGTCCCTCTCTCTGTCTCTGTCCCCCTCTTTAAACCAAAACCAAACCCACTACCATCGAGTTGATTCTGACTCATAGTGACCCCCATTGGATTTCCAAAGCTGTAAATCTTTATGGAAATAGATTGCCTCTTCAATCTACCACAGAGCAGCTGATGGGTTTGAACCACCAACCTTGGGGTTCACAGCCAAATGCCCTACCCACTGTACCACCAGAACTCCTTGTTCTCTCTCCATATATAAATTTTTTATTCGCTTGATCTGACTTCCCCATTAGACAACAAACTCTTTGCAGTCTAGGCATTATCTTCTATTTCATGTCTTTTTCCTCTTGCTATCTAAGTATGTATATGTCATTGTCTGTCTAAACACTACCTTAAGTTACAGGTATTTTTCATTTTCTAAGTAGGAAGTTATTAAAAGCCAGTGATCCTTGTTTTTCAGGTTCATTTTCTACAGCAGATCTGGTGAGACTGTGTGTGGAAGTGGTATAGGCCAGCTGATCATCTTCAAGGATTTGTAACATGACCTTGTTGCATGTTTCGGAAAAACAGCAGTCATTGAAAACAGCTCAGCCTACCACAGAACTCTCCTGAGACAGAAAGTACAAAGGGGATGGTTGGAAATTCACTTGAGCTGGACCAGCCATGCAATTAGAAAATATTCTTGATTTTCAAATGGTTATCATTTACACTCTCTTTCTAAACTGCTCTTGAGAATTTTTATCCCCATTTTTTGTGGAATATCTTTGGAGCTAAGATCCTACATCTTTGGTGCTATTTTGCATTTGTTTTCTATGGGTGTTTGGATAAACTGCTCAGAATGAATCACAGTGCCACGGCTAATGGCTGGAGCTACTTTTATGTGGAGAGGCTGAAGACTTTGACATTGATGCCACGTTGACATAAGAAGCATCCGGTTTTGCATCGTTCCAAGTGGTTGAGAATGGCATTCAAGTGTGGCTAATTCTCTTGGTCACCTTCTGAAAAAACTTGCTTGTAAAGACATTCCTTTACTTCTGGGAGTCACTTGTGCTTGGATTCAAGAGGATGCTATTCTAGAACAATTGTTGTTGGGTGCCATCGAGTCATCTCCAACTCATAGTGGCCCTGTGCACAGCAGAACGAAGCAGTGCCTGGTCTTGTGCCAGCCTCGTGATCCTAGAAGAATCAGGCCTGACTTGATCTGATGCTAGAAAAAGAACAACAGATCCTCAGTAGGATGTTTACTGACACCAGAGGAGTTAACTGCCATTCATCTCAAGACACGATCCCAGTCTGTCAGTTTGCAGATATAAGGCATTATGTCTGTGGCCCACGGCAGGCACAGAATATTTCAGCAACTCAAGGAATCACACTCAAACCAAAAATCCACGAAGGAGACAAGATACCTTTCTGCCTTCGTGTTCACTC